ATATACTAGAATAAGCTCTAGAATATCTAACCTTCTTAGGTAAAAGGCTAAGAAGGCTAATCTTTAGTATAAAAGTTAAAAGGTATATACTAAGATAAGTTTTAGAATATTTATCCTTCTTAGAAGAAAAGCTAAGAGGGCTTTTTTAGTAAAAATATACTAAATTAAGCCTTTAACTATATTTACCTTTTTTAGGAGAAAGGTAAGCTAAACTTTAGTATAAAAGCTAAAGAGTATATATTAAAATAAGTTTTTAATTATATTTTCTTTAACCTTTTTAAAAGAAAGGTAAGTTAAACTTTAATATAAGAATTAAAGGGTATATATTAGAATAAGTTTTTAATTATATTTTCTTTACTTTTTTTAAAAGAAAGGTAAGCTAAACTTTAATATAAAAGCTAAAAGGTATATATTAGAATAAATCTTTAACTATATTTACCTTTTTTAAAAGAAAAGTAAACTAAACTTTAATATAAAAGTTAAAAAGTATATACTAGAATAAGTCTTTAATTATATCTACTTTTCTTAAAAGAAAAGTAGGCTAAACTTTAATATAAAAGTTAAAAAGTATATATTAGAATAAGTCTTTAACTATATCTACCTTTTTTAAAAGAAAAGTAAGTTAAATTTTAATATAAAAACTAAAAGATATATATTAGAATAAGTTTTTAACTATATTTACCTTTCTTAAAAAAAAGATAAGCTAAACTTTAATATAAAACTAAAAGTATATATTAAAATAATCTTTAATTATATTTACCTTTTTTAAAAAAAGGTAAGCTAAACTTTAATATAAAAACTAAAAGATATATATTAAAATAAGTCTTTAACTATATTTACCTTTTTTAAAAAAAGGTAGATTAAACTTTAGTATAAAAGTTAAAAAGTATATATTAAAATAAGTCTTTAATTATATCTTTTTTACCTTTTTTAAAAAAAAGATTAAAAAGGTTAATTTTTAAAAAGTATTAATATATATTAAAATATAATTAAAAGCTTTAATAGGTATTTCTTTATATTAGTACTACTTAGTATATACTTAACTATAAGTATACTTAAGGTTAGATTTAGTATATATAGAGGACCTATAATAAATACTTACTACCTTTAGACTTTTTAACTCCTCTTTAGGTTATTAGTAACTCCTTTTAAACTATGTGCCTAATCGATAGAAGGGTTGAATTTCTGAATTCCGATCGTGGCAGGAATCTCTCCATGTTCTATGGATAAGATGGTTTTCATGATTTGAGACAGGGCACTGGCGGCTTCGCTATGTCCCAAGTTGGGTTTGATCTACAACAGTCACGTTTTATTAGCGTCGTTTCAGTGACAGGTGCTGGTGTGGTAAATCATACCGAGCCAATTAACAGCGGATCATTTTGGCGACCCGTGGAGAAGACGCGACCGATGGCTGAGACTTCAATCGGATCACCAACAGGGGTACCCGTGCCGTGACACTCGGCATAACCAGTTTTGTCTGGGTTCAGGCCACCCGCGGCCTTGTAAGCTTGTCTGATGACAGCCTCTTGGCCGTCAGGGCTAGGATGCGAGATGCCGCCCGTTTGACCGTTGGCATTGAAGGAGGTGCCACGGATGACGGCGCGGATGGGGTCGCCGGCGGCCACGGCATCCGAGAGCTTCTTAAGGTATATGGCGCCGAAACCCTCGGCGCGGGAGTAACCGTCGGCGGCGGCGTCAAATGTGTGGCAGCGCGACGTGGGTGAGACGGCGCCGAGCTTTGTTGTGAAGAGTTGGTTGTCTGGGCCCAGGATCACATTGGCCCCTGCGACGATGGCGGCGTCGCAGTCATCATTTCGGATGGCGGTCACGGCCAAGTGCAGAGCATACATGGACGCGGAGCAGGCAGTGTCAACCATTAAGCTGGCAGGCCAAATGTCAGCATGGATGGTAGGCAGGCTTTGAGCATCGGGCGGAAAGAGCCTTACCTAGGTCCTTGGAGGTTAAAGACGTAGTTGATGCGGTTGCTGAGAATAGTAGGGCCCCCACCCGTCACAACATACGGTAAGGTGTGATCGGGGTCCCTATATTGCATGAGTTGGTGCTCATTGTTGAAGTTTCCAACAAAAACTCTAGTCCTTGAGCCAAAGAACCTTTCGAGAGGCTCTCCAGCAGCCTCGACAGCTTCATATGTGACTTCCAGCAGCTTTCGCTGACTAGGGTCCAAGGCCATTGCCTCAGTTGCTGTGATGCCGAAAAAGCCGTTATCGAAGTCGCGTGTGTCTTCCTCAAGTACATGCCCGCCCCTTGTGTACATGCTCCCCGGTCGCTTGCCATTCGGGTGGTAGAACCCATCGACATTGATGCGGTCTTTTTTGAACTCGGACCAGCTATCTCTCTTTTCCCTCAGCAAGTCCCAGAGTTGCGAAGGGCTTCTGACGCCGCCTGGCCACCGACATCCTGTGTTGCTTGTTAGTATGTGGAAGACTTGGACAGAAGATGTGGCATGTGGCATACCCATGCCCACGATGGCTATCAGATCCGGGCACTGTGCTGGAGAATCTGACGTGGGGTGTGATTGAGTTATGTTGCTTAAGCTTCGATAATTCGTAGTAAAGAGACAATTCGGGAGACTTGAAATCTGAAGATGAAAAAAATAATGTATAATGATGAAGTGAGGATTTCGCTCTCGAGTCAGCTGTGCCCAAGAACTAGGGAACAGAAATGTACTTCAAGGAAAGGGACACTCAGTTAGCCTCGTGAGTCCTTGAGTATGGACATATCAGGCTGCAATTGGAGAAAAGTAGACTAATCACATTTACAACTATCTATACATTGAGTTTGACGCGATTGCACTTTCATGCACCCTTCTCGGCCGGTCAAGACCCTACCGCAGTGCTCAGCTGTAATCGTCTTGCAGTAGTCGAAACAAGAAAAGCAATACACAGAGGTCTCACACCCGCGCCACGTGTTAATGATTCATTGGCTGTGTCGCGTAACGTCCGTATAAGTGCAATCGTGGAGCGGCCTCTTTAGCCTGAATTGACAACGGCAATCGGAACTCGGAGGTAGGGGAGGAAGGGGGGGGGGGGGTGTGAGCAATGCAGATGGATCAAAAGATATAATAATGTAGTAAGACGGCTAAGACGGTGATACTAATGCGGATCGTCTATCGGACAGGGCATTTGCAGGATTCCTCTGGAGCCCTTTGCTCTCATGACGCAACGTATCCCTCGGGATTACTTGAGGACTTCGACCGTAGATGTGGCGTCGGTTGGTATACCCGCCATGAGATAGCGATTCAGGAAAATGATGATGACTATCTCATTAATTCCTTTGCCCGAAAATGACCGAATTTAGAGATGATACGGCAAGACTCAAGTTCGCGACCAAGATTTCGTCAATCTGGCTCCCCACCCCCATCTCCCGTTTACAGTCGTACGGGCAAGAATTGATGCCGCAGCTTACAAGGCGTCATATTAATCTAATATAAAAAACAAAAATGGCTCAACTTAATATATTCTCGCATGTATAATATGAGTGGCTAAAATATTCCAAAATATATGTAATAAGCGTTCCAGGTGTTATCTTAGACGTATGTGGCTTCAATTCAGCTAACCTACGTGATAGTTGCAGCCGTAAATTTTCAGTATCGAAGCAGTTTGACTTCTATCAGGCCCATAATTCCCTTTCCATGAACGTGAACAACCTGTTGTGCGTTAGCATAGTCCTTAGACTCGCGTAAAGCAGCACTCACTTCGAAGCGGGGGTCTGCGGCCTGGAGCAGAGTCTCAAACTCTACAAGAGTTCGCTGCTTGGCAGCGTAGCCATTGAGCATATGAATGTCAATCTGTCTCAAGTGGTACTCTTCCACCTTGAGCTCCTGGTTAGGCGGCGGGAGCAGCATGTCGTTGATCAGCAGGTTAGTGCCGAGGGCAGACTTCTCCATGGCGGGCACAAAAGACTTAAAGATCTTGACGCAGACCTCGTCAGGACAATTGTGAATGACCTGGCGCAGGAAAAAAAGCCCCGCGTCTGTGATGGGCTGCGGCTCATAGAAGCTGTACTGCATAAATGAGACGCGGTCCCGGACCGGGGCGTAGTCGGGCCGTCTGGGGCCCTCCTCTAGCATGACGCTGTTCACGTCTTGAACGAGGAAGCTGAGGCTGGGGAATTTCTATCAATTGGTGTGAGCTGCAATGCAATAAAAAGCCGACATCTCCCGGGGAGTGAACTCACAGTGGCCAGGTGGATAGACACATGTCCGCTTCCACCGCCGACATCAACGACCTTCTTGCCGCCTAGACTGGCCCAAGGGAACCGTTCCGTCAACTCCTCGGTGTCACGGTTCACTGTGAATATCAATTATTAATAAGCTACGAGAAAAAGTAGCATAGGTTGACTTACTCTGGACATAACCAGCCATCGCTGAGGCGAATCGCGCGCCACGCTCAGGGTTTTCGGCATACCAAGTATACGGGGAGGTTCCGAAGCGCAGGTTAAACGCGCTGTCCTTGGCCTCGGACAAATAGGGAGTCTTTTGGATAGATGTGGCAGTCAATGAAGCCGCCTCAAACATTTCGTCCGCCCTGAAAGCCACGAGTCAACCAAAGAACAAAAATCGGTTCGAGAGCAAACATCAGAGAGAGCTTACTCAAAGGCAAAACACTGCTCAATGTCCTTGTTACTGGCAATAAAAGCAGACAGAGCTGTGTGTTCGAAGCGATCGTCGTCAATCTCCTGGAAGCAGCGCTGTGTAGTGAGAAACTTCATGACACGGCGCAGGCGGTCTTCGTCCATCTGGGCCTTACTGGCCATTTCCTTGACGGAGATGGGGCGATCCAGTGGCACAATGGTGAAGTATTTAAAGCGCAGAGCAACTTGCCAGGCGGCAAGGTCGTGGTGGCAACAGCAAAAGGTTCGGATCCATTGTAGGGGACCCGTGGCCAGCAGGCTGAGATCGTTGGCGGCCTGGTTTAGGTCGTTTCGAATGGCATCGTAGTCGCTGTTCTCTGGGTGCGGAGCAGAGCTGGCGGAGAAGTCGGGCTCCTGGAGGTCTTTCTCCTCGAGATAGCTCACCAGTCTCTCAGCATGCTTGAGAGCCTCTCGCGCAGTGGCAAGGATCAAAGACTATCCGGTCTCTTAGTATGAAACATCCAGTAATGAAACGTGTATAGTATTCCTTACTTGACGCTTGGGGATAGCCATGGTTGTGTGGTGAGTTTGGGAAAGTTGCGAGATTGTAACTCTGAAATGAGCAAAAAAAAGGCTTGTTCAGTTGTTGTTTGCAGAAATGTTTGTGGAAAGAGAAAATGTGAGTGGCTTGCTCTTACTACCCCTTTCAGCGTGCTATTCTAATTACTACGAGAGCCAAAATACTCGAATGCTGCTGTGTGATTTAGCTTCCCATAAGTTCGAACAGATGTAAACCTAGTTTACTTGCATTTTAGTAGGTCTTTCTGTAAAGTAAGTAAGCATGCTGTATAACTGGCTGTCATCCTTGTAAGTGAACGTGGCGTAGCTATGACACACACCAAACCATCTGTTTATTTCTGGACATGAGGCGGTATCATGAATGGGTTATCGTACCGGCTTGGCGCTAACATTCAGCGCCAAGTTCACCGTGTCGATTATCCACGGGAAGTAAGACCCCACAGCCAGTGCGTGCATCTGAGGCTGAAGATTCGCGGCCAGGGCCGATGCCCGATGTGCGTGGAAGACGAGTTCGGCGCAGTGCTTAGCGTAGGAATGACCCTCCAGGTTTGGGCGCACATCGTTTAACTTCGAACGCTAACCCGAACAAGCTGGAACCAGAGTGGCAAGGAAAGGATTCAGCCAAGACAACAATAGAAGATAAGAAACACATATGTCGCCGAGGCAGAGATTACATAGGTAGGTAGCAACCCGAGGCTACCCCCCCCCCCCTCCCCTCAACGGTTGGCAGCCTCGTTTAAGGGTTTAAGGGTTTAAGGGACACCTAGGTAGCTATCGAGACTCGGACGTGGGGGGGCCTTGGAGGCGCAACGAGACAGCGCCACAATTTGAGCACTGTGGGGCCGGATAACGCCCCAACGGGCGGGGCACGGCACGGGACAGCCGTCAACGCGGGGTCGTCCAAGAAATTCTCGGGAAAGGGTTGTGGAAATCTGTTATCGACAGGGGTGCGGCCGGGGTAAGCACCGACCCGCGGTTACTCGGGGCTCGGGATTACTACCAGTAAGTACGCGCAGGGAGGCGCACGTGGACGCCCGCATGGTGCGCGACACGAGCAGCGCCGGGAGGAGGGGTATGTGAAGAATTCAATTTTAACCCCACTCCGGTCTAGTTCAGGCTGAGGCGGGGCACGGGCGCCGCCCCTCTACTGAAGCGAGATGGATGGCAGATAGCCCTCTTTTCCTCCTCTCGTGCTACTAGTAGGGGATTTTGGCCGTATGCAAGGGTGGTAGCAGCGCTGGTTGTCGCTGGAGCCCTCCGAGCCAGCCCATCACAGCTAGTCGGCGTAACCCTAGGTACGAAGTACCACGACGCGTACAGTCTTTCGGGGTACCGAGTAAACTCTAAATATCGGCATGCACATACTGAGACGCGGGAGATGAGCGATATCACCATAGGATCAACTTTGGCATGATAGACATTTTTGTAGATCTGCGAAAACACAGGTGGATCCCGCCCATGTCCCCTGTCTACCTGAACTAGGCTGACTACGTTGTCGCAACGACTCTGTCCTTGAATAAGATCTCGTACTCGGGGTTGGGAATATCCATGTCGAAGAACATGATATTCTCAGGCCGGCCAACGGAACTCAGCTTCAAGTCGTAGCGCTGCAGAATCTCTATTAGGAGCAGCTTGCTGATCAGGCTGCCCATGAACCGGCCGGGGCACATGTAGCGGCCGTGACCAAAGTGCAGGCTGCCGCCGTACGCGGAGGTAAACTGCAGGCCGTTTTGATCCTTTTCGCCCTCGCGGCGGAGGCGCTCGAAGCGAAAGCCGTCAAACTCCTCGCTCTTGTCAAAGTAGTCCTCCGACATGGACATGGGGACGCCAGCAAAGCAGACGTGGGCGTCTTTGGGGAGGACATCGCCAGTCGACAGTGTATGATCCTTCATCATCTTGCGATTGACAGATACTAGTGAATTTTATGTACGTAGTTAGCTTGGATTTTATTTTCCGGGGTTTCTTTTGGGGCGGGGAGGGGTAATACGCTTCGACGGTGGGTGGAACCTCTGAGACTCCTTCAAGAAACTGTCGAGAAGCCACATTTTGGATAAGTCGGCGTTGGTCATGCCGGCGGTATCGCCGCCGAGAACTTCCTGAATTTCCTGTCGTAGCGGCGGAGCCCAACGCTCAAAATCGCTCGCCAGGTCCATTAGGGCATTGGTGATGGTGTTGGAGGTTGTGTGCGCCGCGCCAAAGCTCACACCTGTCAGGCGGTGCGCGATCATGTAGATGGATGACTCTTCCGGGCTCGACGTCTCCACCAGCCATTCTAGAGTCGTCATCTCCTCGCTCTTAACATGGGCCTTCCACGATTCGGGACGGTCCTGGGCCCAGGCCATCTTTTGCTGGATGACGGGGCGGGCCAGTCTCCGGATGGTGCGGCGGCACTGCTCGATGCGCCAGCGGTAGGGCGTGAAGAAGGCGACAAACGGTCGCGCAAAGTCGGGCACAAGCTTGAGGTAGACGGCGCACTGAAAGATATTTTGCGCGTAGCCAATGACGGCGGGAACCCACTCAGGATCGCGACAGATGTCAGTGCCGACAATGGTACGCGCTACCATTTGCGAAACGAGCTGAAGAATCTCCGGCTGTGCCTTAAGAGGGGTGTATTCTGTGGGTAAAAACACGTAGTTAGCATGAAGTTGCACAGATTGCTATAAATTGTGCGCACCGTCGTAAGAGCCAAAGTGCTTGTGAAAGGCATACGCAGCCTCGTTGGCAGCAGGTTCAATCTGTTGGCCAATCTTGGCAATGTACTGGGTTTTGATTGCATCAATGGTGGCATGGCCAAATATGTCATAATCCAAACTTGTCCAGTTGCCCACGAAAAACTACGAACGAGTTAGAGATTCGAGGATTAATTGTAAGAAAAGGTAGGCTGGGGTGTGCCTACATCTGAAGTCGCGTGGGAGTTGCTAGCAATGTCCCTGGGCAGGTCTCTGATCTCCTGGAGATGGCGCGGTGGCAGGACAATAGAGGTGCGATCGAGAGACGGTAGGGTAAATATAGCATCAGGAAACTTGTTGAAGGAGCTGTGAATGAGCCGAGGGCCATATTTGAACCAGTGCAGGCGCTGGCGGATACCCTTGAGGACTCGATGGTCGGAGTTGACACCGACGTAGGGGTAGTGACTCTTCGCCAGTGGGTTGTGCGTATAGATGAGCAGCAGCACAACTGTGGCCGCCGTCGCCGCCACAACGGCGGCGAGGGTGGGATGAGCAGTTCCCAGATCGCGAAGGGGTTCTACCAACATAATGATAGGAAGAAAAAACGGAGGTTATGAACAAGCAGTGGTTACGAAGGGGATGGGGTTATTTGCATAAAACGGGAGGTTACAAAGGAGAGACTATCCAACAACCCAATCTTATATTAATATACAGCTGCGAAGCTGTTACATCTGTGCAGCTGCTGAGCGCTGCTTCAGCTTTTTAGCGGCGGCGCAGACGAGAGCTATCGCGGCAAGGGATGGAGTGCAGCTGGTACGACAGTCAGCCACTTGACCCAGCCAATGAAAATAGTGATGGGAATCAAAGCTCGTGTAATGTCTAGCTAATCGAGCTAAAGGTGACTAGCACAGATCCCACTAACAAGTACAGATGCCACGTCGGATGCACTCTGCGCAGTGTTATATAGGTACACCCCGTCTGACCCTTATAGGAGACAATCAACCACGAGTTGGGTCTCCTCCCCAACCGTTTTTGGTTTAGTTATCTGGCTAAGTTTGCACTCTTTACGGGCGGCCTGGCACCTTTTGACCTAGTCCAGTAGATTACTTGGCCTACTCCCATGCCAGTAGGTGTCCATCTACATGTTGCTGCTACGCGATATGACCGCACCCTGGGGTGCACCGGATTTAAGGGGGTTTGACCCGGGAGCGCCAGGTGGGGAGATGTGGGGCGACGTGGATGGCTGGGCGTTGCCGAGATGATTAAAGAACTCGCCTTCTCTCTGTAACTGTTCCTTCCCCCTTCTTGAGACAAACCAATATCTGTACGCTCATCACCAAATATTGTCTTTCGCACATACTCGCTGTTCTTACTAGGAAAGTCGCCAAAACGAAAGCCAAAAGGGAAAAAACAGCCCCTGCCTCCACAGCCATCATGTCAACTACCCCTACCTGGCTCATTACCGGCGCCTCCAATGGCCTCGGCTTAGCACTGGTGCTCCATGTCCTCGAGCGTGGGCATAGGGTTATCGGCTCCGTTCGCAGCAAGACCAAGTCAGCCTCTGCCGTAAAGCAGATCGAAAAGGCCGGCGGCTCCGTCTTCGAGATGGATATGACCGAGTCCAAGGAGAGCATCACCACCAAAGTCCAGGCCCTCGGCAGCATCGACTACCTGGTCAACAATGCAGGATACTCCATTTTGGCGGCCTGTGAGCAGATAACGTAAGTTGTGCCGTGTCTTCAGATTTCTTGCATTCAGCTCCTCCCATGTTCACCGTTAGCTCTCAGCCCCCCCCCCCCCTCCTCCCCGCCCCAGACTATGCATTTGTCCGCCCCTCTGCCGGTTTCCCTTTCCGCCTGGATCCCGATAGCATAGGCCGTATGCTTTGACAGATTGGAAGCGTAGACGCCGTTTTACGAATCTCCGCTAACCTTGATAAAACTCTAGCGACAAGGACGCCCACCTCCAGCTCAACACCAACTTCTTCGGCCCCCTGTACGTCATGCAGGCAGCTCTCCCAGGCATGCGCGGTAACAAGTCGGGGAGCATTGTCAATGTCTCCAGCGTGGCGGCCCGAGACCCGTTGGCTGCCTGCTCCCTCTATGCCGCTTCCAAGGCGGCTCTTGAGGCCGCGTCCGAGGCCTTGGCTAAGGAGGTCGCTCCCCAAAACATTCGCATCCTCATCGTCGAGCCCGGCAATTTTCGCACCAACTTTGTCAGCGCCGTGAGTAATCTACCTGAAAACTGAATCCCTTGCCCACTTGTCTATTTCCGGTTGCATCCCGTCACTCTTTTCCTCGATAGCACCTACGCTAACACAACTGATACGAGCAGCTGTCCGATATGAGCCCCGACGCGTCCGCCGTCCCAGAGTACTACGATGACCCCGTTGGAATCATTGTGCGAAAGTTCCTGACTGTCCACGGTAAGCAGATTGGCAACCCCGCCGAGGGCGTCCAGCGCATCTTTGAGGCAGTCACCGGACAGGGTCTTGCTGGCAGTCTCACCGGCAAGTGCCTTCGCCTGGTCCTCGGATCTGACGCACTCCGAAGAATCAAGGCCTGGAACGAGAACTGGGCCAAGGAGGTCAGCCTCCAGGAAGAGACTGCTATTAGTACCGACTTTAAGGAGTAGTCGATGTTATTTTTGACCGTAACAACTACTGGCAAACTCCGGCTTAATACAGGTCGCAAAGGTCGTTACACGCCCAATTGATCTTTTTTTGAGGTTGCAATCACATTCCTACGAGGTCTCAAACAGAGGATGCAACACATAAAAGACACTCTGTCTCCTGATCTGCCTCATTCTCATATCCTACGTGTCGCTTGTATCCGGCCTGTACACTATATGCGACGCTCATATTATTGACTCGTAGACCTATCACTTCGGCTGACCAAAACGTAATATGAGGCAATGGAGCTAATACTTTCATGTACCAAGTATACCGGCACAGCACACCATTCACCCTAAATTCTCAACCTTTGGAAACGGAAATGTGAGCCGAAGCATGCAACTGTTCAGCTGCGCCACAGACTAGATGACGTGGTAGTCCACGTAAGTGACTTTTGGCACGTCTGGGTGTACTTTGCATCCTTATCCTTTCGGATTCTGAACAAGCTCACCTGACAGGTTATTACTCATATGCACAGAGGCGATGAAACATTGATGTGCGCAGGCGGCTACCGGCACAGCATGCCTGCCCCTCCTCTCGCGATTGTGACACTTACAATCAGGCTCCCAAATGCAAAGTGGCAGATCCAATCATCCAAACCACACAGAGATAATACGTTGACGTATAGAAGTGAGTAACAGCACAGTAACCAGGTAAGATGCACGACGATGGATTTATAGCCCCTACTGTGTGGAAAGCAAATGCGCTAGATTGTATACACCAACTTTTCCCCACTGACTGTCACGCCCGCTTGCATCTCCTCTAAGCCCTTGAGCACGCCCTCGAGCCCGCGGCCCGTCTTGTTGAGCGCTGCCCGCAGCGGCTTGATGCTGCCACTCTCCAGCAACGGCTGTGTGAGCTTCAGAAAGAACTCGTAGTATGCCATTTCGGCTGGGTCGGGTCGCACTGGGTCCTCGCCGAGCCAGTAGTAAAATTCCCCCTGGGCGTCGTACCCACGCTCAAACGGTTGACCAGTGACACGCGGGTTTGTCTTGACCAGGAGGTCGTAGTCGGCGGGCATGATGGTGCCATAGGTGCCCGGGCGGTCATCCGACATGGCTGCCGCGCAGACGCCCGCGCCTTCACCGGTGCAGTCCCACGCATGAAGCAGCGCGTTGTTGGTGAAGCCCTTGATGTCGGCGGCGCAAGTGGGCGAGTTGTAGTCGAACGCGGCGTCGGCGCCGAGGGTCTTGACGAGGTCAAAATTGGACGGGGAGCAGGTGGTAATGACGATTAGGCCAGAGAGCTTGGCCAGCTGGATGCCGGCCATGCCAGTCGAGGTGCTGCCACCGTAGATGAGGACGGGGAAGGGCACGGCGGCGGGTTGCGTGGGGAGCGGGATCTTGAGACGCTTATACAGGCCTTGGCCCTGATTTCGAAATGTAAGTCGCTGTTGTCTGTGTACTGGGGGGGGGGGGGCTCTTTCGGGGGAAATAGGGGTTGGAAACGTACGACGGTCATGATGGCGACGCCAAGCGACGCTGCCTCTTCAAAACTCATGTTGTCGGGAATCTTTCTCTGGACGCAGGCCTTGGCAATCGCGAGTTCTGCAAACGCGCCTGATTCGTGATTGGCACGGTTTCTAGCTTTCAATTAATATCGTCTCGCCTTTTTCTTGACCTTTTCTCCTCAGGGATGTGCCGCGTCACCGGACTTACGAGCCATGGACCCAACCAGCGATGCGTTCTCCTATTTTCCAACCGGAGACGTTCTCGCCCACCTCCTCCACGATGCCGGCATAGTCGCAACCGACGCGGCATCCAATGTCAGCACCACCCCAGGCGACATGCTTCCAGTCGGTCGGGTTGATGGCGACGGCCTTGACGCGGACGAGCAGCCAGCCCGGGAGGACTTTGGGCAGCAGCACGTCGCGGACACCGGCCCTGTGCAGTTCGACGACAATAATGGCTTTGGTGGTCGCAGGAGGCATCTCGTTGATTGTAATCGAATTTCTAAAAATGTTTGTCTCTGCTAATTCGTCTCTGTAGCTCCAGACAGCTTTTGCAAAGAGACCGACCCGTGTAGGCAATCGCCAAGGATCGACTCATCCTCGGTATCCCTGTGCGCATCCCCCCAAACCGAACACGGCGCCCTGATTTCCCCCCTGCGGCTGAGGACATTCCCGATAATGCCCATAGTTACCGCTCGTTCCAGTTTTCGCATCGGGGCGTCATTTTGTTAGTATTTTTTATTATTGATTTTTTCGGTCGTGGGGGCCAGTTTTACTAGTCTTACCCCCCAACCTCCAATCCTCGGTTCCGGCTCTCGCAGCAATGCAGTTTCCGGGTCCTCTCGACAAGATTGGTTGCTTGTTTCTGCTTCTCTCATATCTTTGTGGTGTATTATCATCGTAGTCTTATCTAGCGCCACAAGACGGGCCAGGGGGTTGAATGCCTATCAAATCCACGTCTTGAACTTGCACGATAATATTGGTCCTTGCAGTTGCCACTGACGTGGTGCTTCCCAGGCCAGATCGCCGCCTCGAAATAGTTTCGACCATTAGCTGCGACCTGTTTGTGAGAGTCTTGCCAGACTTGTTTCCCCCTCCCTTTTCTCGCTTTTTTTTTGTTGTCGGTTCCCGTCCTCCCACGCCTTCACGAGCCCTTTCACCTACCCGTTCTAGATCCACGCGCAGTCTGTGGCACAATGGACCTCGACACAGATGTCCTCATCATTGGGGCTGGCATGTCCGGCCTTGGCTTCGCCGTGCAGCTCGTCAAGACACATGGACACCGAAGCTTTGAAATCGTCGAAAAGGAAGAGCATATTGGAGGAACCTGGTGGGTGAACTCGTACCCGGGATGCGGCGTCGATGTAAGTCAACTTATTCTCATCAACATTGCAATCCGGCAGGGCCACTAATAGTCACCTAGGTGGTTGCGCATTATTATTCCTACTCATTTTGCATGAACCCTAACTGGTCGCGAATGTATCCTCTGCAGCCTGAAATTCTTGCCTACTTTGAAAACCTCGCGGCAAAATACGGCATTGAGAAGCACATTCAATTCGAAACAAAGGTAGAATCTGCATATTGGCAAGAAGATTCCGGGACCTGGTTGGTCAATCTTAAGAATTTAAAAACATCAGAGACGTATCAACGCCGATGCAAGATTCTCATCTCGGCTGTTGGGATTCTCTCTGAGCCCAATGAATGCGACATCAAGGGCTACGAGTCTTTCCAGGGCGCCTTGTTCCACAGCACACAATGGGACCACTCCTTCGACTATCAGGGTAAACAGGTCATTGTAATAGGTATACCTCTCTGAAATTCCTTCCCTCCTCACTCACACTCTGACCGCGGCAACAATAGGCAACGGCTGCAGCGCCAGTCAGATTGTCCCAGCCATCACGCAAGGCGACGGGGCAGTGAAAAAAGTTACCCAGTTCGCCCGCCAAGCGCAATGGGTCTTTGAGCGCACAAACCCCGAATACACGGACAACTTCAGGCTCATCATGCGCTGGGTTCCCTTTGCCATGCGTGCCTACCGCGCCATGCACAACTACTACGCCGAGATGGACTTTAAGAGCTTCCCTACCGAGGCTGGCGCGGCGCTTCGCAAGATGTATGCTGACTACCAGGGCGCATACATCAAAAGAGCGTCGCCTGAAAAGTACCATGACTTTCTCGTCCCCAAGTCCGAGGTCGGCTGCAAACGCCGCGTCATGGACTCTGATTATCTCCAGAGTCTCGGGCGCGACAATGTAGAGCTCGTGTACAGCGACCCCATCGAGGAAATCCTCCCACAGGGCGTGCGCACAAAGTCTGGGCGCATCGTCGAGGCAGATGCGATTGTCCTTGCTAACGGATTTCAAGTTCAGAAGCCGCTCCTGACACTGAACCTGCATGGACAGGGCGGCGTCAGCGTCGCTGACCATGTAAGTGCACAATTTCGAAAGCGGCCGCCACCCCTCTCGCGCGAAGCTAACAACGATGAACCACAGTGGGAAAAGTTTAGTCAAGGCGCGTCTTCCGCATATTTTGGGACTCGCCCCCCCCAGTTCCCCAACTACTTCATCATGATGGGCCCCAACACCGCGAGTGGCCACGGCTCCGTGTCGTACATTACCGAGTGCCAGATAAATTACACCATGCGCGTCATCAAGCCAATCCTCAAAGCTCTCAGGGCCCAACGTTCCAGCGTGCCGGTACTGTCATTTCTGCAACAGTCCACCGATGTTGCCAGAGTGAAACCGGGCGCCGAGCAGCGGGATCTAGACGATGTGCAAGCGAGGGCCAAGGACATGGTCCGGGCTTCTGGGTGCACCTCGTGGGCCTTGGACGAGAAATCCAAGAGAAACACGACCATGTACCCCGACTTTCAGTACAAGTATTGGCTGAGGAGTATATTAGTGGCCTGGAATGACCTGCACTTTTCCACCTCGCCGGTGCTGGCCGAGTCCCTGGCGAGCAAATCTATCAGTATCGGAACATGGGTCGCGCTCTTGGCGGGCGTCTCTGTCGCTACGACCATCTTGTATGAGAAAGGGGCACTTAAGAGTTGAATGGGCGTCTAGGAATTGTATATTACTTATTTCTTATTGTATCTTCATTGCTTCTCATCTCCGACAAAAATTCATGACTTACGAATACTAATGTATCCCCTACGTAGTACCCCCGAACCAGATGATAGCGTGAACGCATTTATTTTGAAGGCGACCTCCGTAGATACATTCGTATTTCAACAAGATAGTCAGCTTCGAATAATAAAGCAACTTAGTGTAGCGACACAGCAAATTCTTATCCTCTACCCAGCAATGAATGCATTACAATCAATCTTGCACGCAGCTACGGCTGCTGACGCTTCCAGCTCCGTCCAAATTATAGCAAGCCGGATGGCCTTATCGTTGAACTCAGGCTCTATTATTATTAGGGGCTTGTCAGTGCGACAGTGCGGCACACCAGGCTGCGAGGGAGGTGGGATGGGCCCCTGTCCCCCCACGCACCACGGCTGAAAGATTGGCACTAGTTAGTCACTACGAAGGCATTCGGGTACCCGCCGAGACACTGTTTAATAATATAGCTGACGAACAATTCTGCTAGAAACGCGAAGTCCCCCAAATGGGCTTGGTGGAGTGAGAGAATTAGCGAGATATGGGGGGAGAGAGGGTGGATAACAGAAGGGGGTGTTGGGTGCTGATGAATCCCCCCCCATAGGGTTGCTCTGGTTTTTGTCGCGGTCCCGCGACGCCCTGTCATAAAACCGCTAGAGCTTGCGAGCTGAATATGACGGGGTAGCTGCTGAGTATAAATCATGTCTATCGGCTGCGGTCTGTGTAGAGTCATTGACGCCGTGTATTCCGGGTTTCCTTGTTCTTTTCCAAAGATGCTGCTCTCCAACTTGAAGACGTCCGCAATTTGCGCCATCGCAGCACTATTTGCTTATCCAGCAGCTGCCATTCGGCCCTCGGGAAGCTCTTTCGGGGTCCCCGGCGTCAATACTACTTACGACTACATTGTTATTGGCGGCGGCAACGCTGGCCTGACTGTCGCCACTCGTCTCGCCGAGCAGCAGGGCGGCACCGTGGCCGTTGTCGAGGCCGGCTCCTTCTACGAGAGCGGCAATGGCAACCGCAGCCAGGTTCCCTTCTTCGATCACTACTACATCTCCAAGAACAAGGCTGATTGGCAGCCCATGATTGACTGGGGATATACGACCACCGCGCAAAAGGTATGCAGAATGCCCTCTCTCCTAGAAGAATACAGGTTGCTAATATAATGTGGTGATAGCATGCATATGACACCGAGTTGCACTATGCACGCGGCAAGTGCCTGGGTGGATCCTCAGCGAGAAACTACATGATTTACCAGCGAGCCAACAAGGATGCATATCAGCGCTGGGCGGATGCCGTCGGCGACCAAAGCTACTCCTTTGACGAATTCCTGCCCTTCTTCAACAAGGCCATTTGCTTTACGCCGCCAAACAATAACATCCGCTTTGCCAACTCGACTCCGTCCTACGATGCCTCCGTTTTAGGCAATTGCACGGGCCCGCTGTCGGTAACCTACACCAACTATGCGCACTCATTCGCGTCGTGGTCCATCAGGGGCCTTCAATCGCTCGGCCTCAAGGTCTTCCCCGGGTTCGCTAGCGGCTCGCTCGTTGGCGGTCTATCGTACGTCATGTCCACCGTCGCGGCCAAGGAGCAGACGCGCGACTCTTCCGAGACCTCTTTCATGAAGAAGGCACTGCAGCTTCCCAACTACAATGTCTATGTCATGACGCAGGGCAAGCAGATTACCTTTTCGTCCGACAAAAAGGCCACCGGCGTTTGGGTCGACACTCTCGGCCTCCGCTATCACCTCACGGCCAGGCAGGAGGTCATCGTCTCCTCGGGCACCTTTGCCTCCCCCCAGCTCCTCATGGTGTCCGGCGTCGGCCCCGCAGAGACACTGAACAAGTTCAACATCCCCATCGTCGCCGACAGGCCCGGAGTCGGCCAGGGCATGCAGGACCATCTCTACTTTGGCCCTAGTTACCGCGTCAATGGGCTCACCACGTCGTCTCTACTCGACGACAGCGCCATGGCCAGCGCCACCCGACAGTACCAGGAAAGCAGCGCCGGTATGCTCACCAACCCGTCCAACGACATCATCGCCTGGGAGAAGTTACCCAAGCACCTCCGCAGCGGCTTTTCCAAGCGCACTCTGCAGGCCCTCGCCAGCTACCCTGCCGACTGGCCCGAAATTGAGCTCCTCGCCATCAGCGCCTGGCTTGGCTACCAAAACACTTCGGGCTCCGACCCTAACGACGGCCACCAGTACGCCACAATGGGCGCCGCGCTGTGCATGCCTCGTTCTCGCGGTAGCGTCACCATCAGCTCGAGCGACAACGCCGTCCAGCCAGTCATAGATCCCAATTTCTTCTCTGACTCGGCCGACGTCGAGGTCGCAGTCGCCGCGTACAAGCGCGTCCGCGAGTTCTGGCTGAGCCCCGAGGTGAAGCCGTTCCGCGTTGACGACGTGGAGGCGTTCCCCGGCCTCGACATCAACACAGACGCCGACATTGAGAAGCTTATCAAGCAGAGCTTCCAAACCATCTTCCACGCCGCGAGTACCTGCTCCATGGGCAAGTATTCCGACAAGATGGCTGTTGTCGACAACCACGCCAGGGTATTTGGGGTGTCAGGCCTCCGTGTCGTCGATGCTTCCGTCTTTCCGTTCCTCCCACCCGGACACCCTATGAGCACAGTCTGTACGTTGATATCTCTTCTGACTTTAGGCATTGAAATGTTTTAAGTACTAACACATGATCAGATGCACTTGCAGAAAAAATCGCGAGTGATATTACTGGTATGTACTAATAGAAAAAAAGATATTTTTTTTATTTCAAAAGTATTATAATGAAGAATATGATTATATATATCCTAGTACGTGAGGGAGACTGCACCCTAGATACATTTCTTCCTTGCCAAATTTAGAAGCTCGTTCTCTTGACGCTCCCGGGCCCACTGCCATTTAAGCTTCAAGGCGTAATTCCACCGTCGCAGAGTCTGCCTGTACCAACAAGGCCATGTTGGGTTGCAATTGCATACTCGACACAAAGTTTTCCTGGAAAGCTATCCATCATTCAATCGAGGATATTGGAATTACCGTCGTCACCTGTCTTAATGAGTTCGGTCTTCCCGAGGTCCTGGTCGGCCCTATGCTGGTAGCTGAGAGCAATTGGGAGAAACTGTGCAAAATCTTTCTGAATGTCTGATGCGTTGCCGTAAAATATAACAGATCGATCAAAGACCCAAAGGTATATCAGTAAACCACGCATGTACAAACCATGTAAGAACAGTCGTGCGGGCTAGCTCATGAAGATTTCATGTGCAGATCGGCAGCGTTGTATCAAGGTGAGGAAGACAATCATTCGGTGGAAATGCCCAATAACCTGGACACAGTCCCATCGCATTTTCTTGCACGAAGCTGACGAAGTCGGCATGACCAAGGAAAAGTCCACACTGTGGTCACAAGTCCTTTCCTTTTCGGGTGCTTCGCTGTCGCTAGATATGTGCCAAAAACCTCGAGCGCTACCCAGCTGGCACCTTGCGAAGTCGGAGAACCAGGTCAGGAAATTGTCGGGTAACGGTGCTGCTGATGGGACAGCATAGCGACCACAAATTCTTCTAGCCTTCCGAATTTCGAAATTTGACACTTTGTATGTATGCTGAAAGCTTCCAAAGTATTTGTTGATAAACCCCTCACGCTTTAGTCGAACCAGTAGGGATCTTGAACATAACTGCCTTGCCCTCGGGTCCTTTACCGATGGCTTTATCGACTCGGAAATAGCCCTTTCGTTCGAGCTGAATGATATCACCATCAATAAGGCCCTCACAATCGCCACCAACAATAGCTTCGGTCATAGTGGCAGTGACGGTTGTCAAAAATTTGTCCAAATCGTCATCCTTACCTAAACTATCTTTAGATAGAAGGTAGTCGAAGTCCCAGAGCTCTATAGCGAAATGCTTAGTACCTTCAGCGGCGAGCCAGTGAACCTTCTTTGTCTTGGAGAAGTCCCCTCCAGGGTTCAGTACCGCTTCTAGGCTACCAACGGTGCCATCCTCTAACCGGACGATGCGCTTGACGATGAAATTTCCCCAGGCCATAAGCGTAATTTCTTCGTTTACTTTGAAAGACAAAGCATCAACTTGTTCAATGAAGACCTTGTTTGCAAATGCAACTTCTTTTTTTCCAATGTCGGCATTCTTTGGATGTTTGGGTCGAGTTTCATTCCACGGCGCATGGGCGGCTCCTTCAATAGAAAGAGCCACCTTGCCCGTCGTTTCGATAGCAGTGTGTCTAGCCGCAATAGGGTCGATGACCTTCTTGTTCGTAGCCCAGAGGGTGGTCCAGTCCATCGAAACAACGTTTCTGCTCGGCCCCTGTTTCAACATGAACTCGCGAAGGGCATCTACTGTGAGACCACGTCGCAGAATACCGCGCACAGTTGGCATCCGAGGGTCATCCCAACCATCAACCTTGCCACTGTCAACCACCTTGGTGAGCTTTCTCTTTGACAAGAACGTCTTGATGAAGTTGATTCTTGCAAAGTCCCATAGGTGAACACGGCGCATGTTCAGAGTCTCAAGGAACCAGTAGTACTGCTCATTGCGATCGGCATATTCAGTGGTTCTGAGAGCATGCGTGACGCCCTCGATTGAATCAACCAAAGGGCAAGCAAAGTCGTAGGTAGGGTAAATGTTCCACGCCCAACCTGTACGGTGATGGGGTTGTGGCCCTTCCTCGTAATCCCAACTGGGGAACCGGTAGATGATAGGGTCACGCATAGAGCCGTTGGAGCTGTCAAAAGCGATTCGAGCACGAATACAGTGTTTCTTCCCGAGTTCGGTTCCCTCTCTCATCTCCTTGAAGATTTCGAGACTCTCCGCAGCCGGTCGGTCCCTGCGGCTACTGGGGAGACGCTTGTAACGATCGTTCTTTTGGATCTTGGGGTCGGTGTCATCAGCATAAGCATTCCCGTCGGAAATGAGCTTCTGGGCCAGTTCGTAAAGTTGTTCGAAGTAGTCGCTCGTGTACGTCAATCGTTGAGTCTCAATTCCAAGTAGCTTAAGATCGTGGACAATGGAATCCTCAAACTCTTGCTTCTCTTTTTTCGGGTTCGTGTCATCGAAACGCAGGATCATGGATCCAGAGAAGGCATCATGCGCAAAGTAGTCGTTTAAAAAAGCCGCTTTAGCATGACCGATGTGCAGATAGCCGCTTGTCAGAAGTTAGTCAAAAAAAAGCGAAGGAGAAATTGGAATCAGCTTCTAAGATGTATTCCGTACCTTGGCTCGGGTGGGAATCGAGTGACGACCCCCTTTTCAGTATCTTGCAGCTTAATATTGTAGCGACCGCCAGCTTGGCTAACGTTGGCGACATCCTTTGCTTTGGACGATAATGCGCTAGCCTCCACAGCCTGCTGAAGAGCAGGATATGTCGATTCGAGATGATTAAACCACCTGGTGACATTCCGGAACAAGTTGCGCCGAACAATTCCGACAGTCACCTTGTTGAGACGGAGAGCTGTCCAAACTTTCTCATCGATCTCACCCAAGCTATAGCCGCCGAGGAAGCTACGCAAAGTGAGGAATTGATCGAGTTCGTGCAAGGCGGGCTCGTTGGACTTGAAATCAGGAGTTTCAAGCCCAGCTAGAATCTTGACAAGTTTGGGGTTTGTCATTTTGAACGGTTTGTTTTGATTGAGGTTTTGTTCTCGGCTAGTCAGATAATCCTGCTGCTATTGTAGAAAGAAAGCGGGGTGAGTCACCTTAGATCCCTGGCTGTGCTACTCGAGAAAACTGTAAGATGCAGCGTCTTGATTCTGGAATTTAGAGCGGCAGTAAAACTTCATCTAATTGTTAGTCAGTATATTGCCTTATTTGCCGGCAGAGAAATTGGCAGAATTCCAAACTCCCCTCCTGCTCACGAAAGTGGACGATGCCAAGTGGATGAGCGAAAGGTGCGCCAGTGAGGAAGTGGACAGGCTAAGCACGAAGGCACCCCTTTTCTGCCGCAAATGCTGTAAGTAAAATCTTCCCCTCGACCCATTGTGCTCTTTGGCGCAGCAATTTTGGAATAGCCTCAATACTGTTAGTTTTTGACCATATAGCCACCACCAAGCTCTCGATGATCCGCAGATGCTCGATGATCCGGGCGCATTTATCTGATATCGAAAAGCTCTGCACCAGTGCGGACTGCACTTCTTGGCGACCGGCACAGGCGCGGGACATACGAGGTGTGCGCCATCTCTCGGAAGTCGCGCCCAGCCCCATCCGAGCGCACGACCAGAGTCGAAGAGGCAGGAATGGAAGTGGGTGCTGAGGGATAAGGCGAAATGCACGGGGCAAGCTCAAATGCTGGCGTCCCTTGTGCAGGCTCTGCACGACTTGGTACCTCTCGATGGCGCGAAAGGTACAAGACGTGCGCCGCGAAACGATGGCAATGATACTCTCGGGCGTGGTTCCAGGATCATCTTGACGAATGTGGTGACAAGTAAATGCAGAGTTTGATACTGCTATATGGACTGACAGGATGGGCAACTGCCGGCTCTGAGTATGCCGACCAGATAAGTGGCTACAATTCACAATACTGGGAGAACCAGTGAGGTTGTGCCTCACTTGCGGTGCCGAAGGGTTGGGGGACGTTTCGGTGAGACACTGGTTGGCGACGATAAATTTGGACCGACTGATTAGCCATAGATAATTCGTCAAATCTCGCTTTCCCTTCAATCCAATATGTATGTCTTCGGGCTCAGTGCGTCCGAGGTTTTAGCATCATTCTCTAACACAGTAGAGAAATCAACTCTAGTTGGATTTTAAGAATATGTTATCCATCATGGCTTTATCACTCGGCAGCACCAAGTTGAAAAAGACTCCGAGAACCGCAGCCAAAATGAATGGAGTCGTGATAGTCAACTCAATACCATCCAGTAGACCCTGGAGGGCGGTGCTACTGCCTTTGTAGACGATGACGCGATCGAACCATGTTGGTGTCACTATGTCAATGAATCCAAAACCCAGTGCCACAATCAGTATGAAGCGATTCCGGCGAGTGAATTCAATCATTCCAAGAACTCGAATACCAGCCACCGCAATTGTGCTGAAGAGGAACACCTGCATGCCGCCAAGAACTGAGGCGGGCATGACAGTGAATATTGCAGCAAATTTTCCTAGCACGCCCATGAGAATCAAGAAGCCTGATGCTGCCCAGCCAGCACGGCGCGACTAGAATATAGTTAGCAACCTCTTATAAGTGATATTAGATTGGCCCATGTCCACTTACTGCGCACCCAGTCACAACAATCGTGCCGTTATTCCCTGCTTGTGCCACCATAGGGAGGGCCGTACCAAGTGCGCTGATCAAGCTTCCGATTCCGTCACAGAGAATGCCGCCCTGAATACGCGAGTTAAACTCGGTCCCTTCGATATCGACGCCCGAGATTTCTGCTGTGGCAAGGATGTCAGGCATGCAGCTTATGCCTTGAACAATAAACATGATGATCAAAGGCAGCACCAAAGCTCCGTCAACACTGAGCTGAAAGCTATGTCTCCACAGGAACGTGACAGGAGGAGCATCATGTATGTTCTTCGCGTCCCAGTAGCCAGAGGCGCCTGAAATGATGCAACCCACGCCCAGTCCAAGCATAATGGCGGCCGACCTCATCAGCGGCGAGCCAAACTGCTCAATGAGGACGATGCTGGCAAAAACGCTGAACCCTAGCCCAATCAGCCGCGGGTGAGCCCACGGGAGTGCGTTGGGGGCATCAATGTTTGGGCAGAGCGCATAAAACCCCTCGCCGTTGTAGCAGTTGACGGATCCAGCCCAATTGTTCATACCCTGCCGAACCAGGTAGACGCCGAGCAGCAGCAGCAGGGACCCCGTCACAACTTTTGGGAACGCACGTTGTAGAACCTTGGGCGGCACCAAGGACATGGCAATCTGCACCCAAACCGTGCAGAGTATGGACCCGAGTAGCGCTCCCCACGCCTCTGGACACGGCAGGCGGGTTCCGTCCTCGGCGACCGGGCAGGTGCCTCTTTGGTATCGCATGTTGGTGTAGGTAAAGGCGATCGGTATAACGTCAAAAGTAGGACCGACAACGCTGAGGAGCCCAGTGCCGACGTAGAATGGCGTGCCTTTGATGTGCAGCCGCGTGACCTGCAGAGCTGTCGCTATGCCGGTGGTGATGAAACACGCCGAAACGAGGTATGCAACCTGGCCAGCATCGAGATTGAATGCGCCAGCGGCAATGGCCAGCGGTGGAGAGACAATTGACCCTACCACGGTCAGGGCATGCTGGAATCCCAAGAGAAGCGTCAGAAGGATAGGAACTCGATCATGCAGGCCGTAGAATGGGATTGCGGTGTCCTTGTATTTGCGGTTGAACGGATAGATGTTGGGCGTGGCTAGGTACCAGTAGTCGTAGTCGCCCAGCCATGCTTCTTTGGAAGCCAAGCATGAGCAGGAACGAGCTGTTTTCGTGCGCCATAATGATTTGAGGGGCCGATGCACCTCCTCGCTGTGGGCTTGGACGAACGGCATCTCGCCGCAGTTGGAAGAAGATTTGACCTCCATGGGGTCTAAAATGGCAAGTTAAAAATTGAAATCGCCTAATGTCACGAAATCGGCTGAGGATGGTATTTTCTTTTCGTAAAGCAAACCCTCCCACGTTCTTATAGCCCTTGGAACAGTGCGATCTGGATGTTTTGCCAAGAGGCGGCCGCCACCGCTCACAAGGACTATCTCGACAATCAGGAGGAGTCAAGCAAAAGGCTGTTATCTAAATTGATGGCTTGTGATGGCTTGCGATGACTTAGAGATGCATTGAAGTTGCCGAAGAATACCGCTCACAGAGAACTTGGCAAGACAAAGGTGCGCCGATTGTAGCATGCTAATCTCTGATTGTCGTGTGTACGATACGATAGTGGCGTAGAGGTTTCTCGTACGATGGATAGATCGGCTGAGAGGCCAGCCATATTACTGCGCTCAGACTCACGTGAACAAAAAAGTGAAATCGACACGAAGGAAATGGTCTTCAGCTGGAGAGGCAGTTTCCTTAATATATTTACGTGGTCCTATTTCTTAGTCTTTGTATGCGTACTTATTCAGCGAAAATGACAGGCACCACTCATTCGGAGATGATTGTTTTCACCCATGCCACCATCATCACTCAAGACTGTCAGCGGACCATATGGTTGGATGCCACGATTGTAACAAAACGCGATCGTATAATAGCCATCGGAAAAACTTCCCAGCTTGTTGGCGACGGCAATGCTTTACCTAGCAACGCGCGTTTGGTGGATTGCTCCGGACGAATCATCACGCCCGGCCTGGTTAACACGCACGCGCATGCAGCGCAGTCCCTTCTGCGCGGGCTCGCTGAAGATATGCCGCTGCACTCGTGGCTCTGCGACGCGGTATGGCCGCTCGAGGCCCAGTTCAGCGGCAAAGATGGCTACGTGGCGGCGAAACTTACCATTGCGGAAATGTTGAAGAGCGGCACCACGTGTTTCCTTGAGGCCATGTTGACCCATCGCACCGGTTTCGAAAATGTGGCCAGGGCGGTTGAAGAGATGGGCATTAGAGCTTGTCTTGTGAGTCTTCCAACCCACTGAACATTTTTGCTCTAAGGGTTCTTCTGGCTAATTGTGGTCGGGATCGTAGGGAAAATTGGTAAAGGCGACCGACCCCAATTTAAAAGATGGACTGCCCGACCCGAGGGATATTGATGCTCAGCAAATGTCCATGAACGCGATGCTCGCTGCTCATGCAAAACACCATGAATCCTGCGGCGGGCGGCTTCGAACCTGGGTTGCCCTAGGCACTCCTCGCGGATCCGCAGAGGCTGCCTACCATGCTATCGGGGATATATGCGAGAGAAATAGCCTCGGAATAACGATGCACTGCGCGGAAGCACCCAAAGATCGGATAATCTACCACGAAGCCTACGGCTGTAGTCCTGTCGAGTTCTGCAAGAGGACCAAGTTGATCGGACCCGGGAGGAAAGCCGTCCTGGCACACATGGTCAATCTCGATCTAGAGACCGACCTTGCGCTGCTTCGCGAGACCGGCGCCACAGTCTCTCACAACCCTGCCAGCAACTGCAAGCTTGGGTCCGGGATCGCTGCCGTTCCGCAGATGCTGGAGGCTGGGGTACACGTGGCGCTGGGAACCGACGGCGCCCCTTGCAACAATACCTACGACATGTTCCGCGAGATGCGTCTCGCCGGTCTCCTTCACAGCGGTGTCCATAATCAGGCAGGCATCCTGCCAGCCGAGGACCTATTAGCCATGGCCACTATTCGAGGTGCAGAGGCGCTGGGCTTGGACAAGGAAATTGGTAGCCTGGAGGTGGGTAAAAAGGCAGATTTTGTCATTCTCGATGTGACAACACTGGGCTGCGCGCCCTTTGACTCTGAGCAAATCTTGGATGGTGGCTTTGATCCCGTCACGGCGGTTGTATACTCGTGTACGGGCGCAAATGTGGCATCCGTGGTTGTTGATGGCCAGATCTTGGTTGAAAATCGCGCCCTGGTGGGTGTAAGCGAGCAAAGCATTATCCTCGACGCCAATGCCGCCATTCAGCGCATACGTAAGAGATCGAGCTGCCACACTGCGTCGCTAAGAAACTATAAATAAGTGCCCACAGGTCAGACTCAGACACTAGCTCGTATATACCTAGAGTATAATATTTCAGAGACATTTTTCTAGCTATTAATCTCGCCTCGTGCTTGCAAAACAGGGGTAATATTGAGCAGGCAAAGGCGTACACTTGCGAGGGACGCCTAAGTCCGGTTTCGCGGTCGGCGGCCATGATTTTGGACTACATGTCGTTGTTGCTTAAGCCTTGTCTGTAGCCAGTGCAAACGTTTATCCTGCTCATCGATAACATATACGGTTCAAAATCAAAGTCTCCCCGAAATTCTGAGTATGCGCCAATGTTTCCGAAGTATGACACGGTACAAGACTGTGAGAAACTATTGATCGATTTTGACTAGGAAATGACGGGGCTGCAGGTATATGCGCTAAAAGCTTTGCTCGTATCGCTTCAAGAGATGCTCTTGGACTGTATATCGCTCTGTCGCGGAGCCGTCAAGCGGTTCAACGACAAAATCCGGATTTCCATCAAAGAAGAATGGAACAGAATATCTTTCCTTGCCACTTTTGTTAATAACCCTATGTATGTTGGACTTGTAATATCCACTCGTCCAAGTCTCCAACAAATCTCCCATGTTTACCACAAAGGCATCGCTCCGTGCTGGCACATTAATCCACTCCTTCGTGGCCTGATCCAGAACTTGCAACCCAGAATTGCCGTCTGTTAGAAGAATCGTGATGCCGCCAAAGTCAGTGTGGGCGCCGGCACCCACCAGCGCATCGTCCTCGACGTCTGGATGGGGAGGGTAATGCAGCAGCCTAAGAGAGGCGATGGGCTCGCGGCAAAAATTCGCCATCATGTTGTTGTCCCTGATTTTGAGACTGCTCGCCAAAAGATCCATGAGACAGACCGCGAGTTCTTGCATCGCTGTGTGGTACGCAAGCAGCGGAAGCTTGAACTCTGTCTCGGGTAGCAGACTCGCCTCGGGCCAGATATTCGGTCTGCAAAAGGGTTGGTAGGGTGGCTGCAGCCCTGCGATCTCACGGTTGATAAAATAACCCTAACAGTGAAATTTTAGTGATTTACCCCAGACCATCCTTTTTTCGGGGAGATGTTGTTTGCAACGTGGATTACAAGATCAAGGCAGATATTTGTAACACAAGCAATGAAATGAACTAACCTCCTTCAAATCTGGTTTTCTACCAGCCTCGAGGATCTGGGCTCCAAATGTCTCATAACCGACTCCTGGTCCTTCCTTCAACTTCAACTTTTCTTCTTGTGGCAGAGAGAAGAGTGCCTTGGACGCACGGAGCGCGGAGTCTTGCATTGCCAGCGATACGCCATGGCCGACAATCTGGAAAAAGCCGCTCGTCGAACAGGCCAACCGGATCTGTTTGACCAAGTCTTGAATTGCCTCTGATTCTACCTTGCCTTGTAGGAAAGCGCTCAAGTCAACTAGTGGAATGTTGAACGCTGGCGTTTTGCCAGTCTCGGGTAGGGTAGCCATGAGAAAGAAGACCGCTTAAAACTTGAGGTTGATAGGATACTTTCTCTGAAATGCTCTATATACTTCGCGATTAATTTATATAAGCCCTTGAAAATCTGCGTATCGAGCACTCCTTTTTTACTTGCCTTTCGATAGCAGAATGCAGGTGGGTCTGGCTTGTGGCAGACTCTGGAGCCAGCTCTAATCTACATACATATTTTTATCGTGAGCCAGTTAGATTTCGGATATGTAGGCGCTGGTTATCGTACGAAAAGTACCCACTGTACATTGTGGCTTACTGGTAATCGTCGTCATCTTATCTGCCCTATTATAAGATGGTTGCTCAGGCACCCAGCTGCCAGTTTTCCCGAACTTCTTGTCATATCGTACAGTCGAGACACTCGCGCCATTACACCATCCCGCCTGACCATGATCCATGCCGCACTACATTTGCTCGCGGATGCAACACCCATGCACGTTATACGAGTCGCAGCTCAGCCATGGCCAGCCGTCCCCGCCGTGTTACGCGCAGGAAACGAGAGACATGTACAGAGTGTTCTTTGCGGCGGCAAAAATGTGATCGCCAAATACCGTGCGGACGGTGTGTAAAGAGGGGCGTTGCCGAAAAGTGCACCGTGTTATGGGACAAGCGTGGTGGTGAAGCCACCCATCGGGCCCAGACGGATCTGTCCCCCAGCAACGGCGAGGATGAGTCCATAACAGGCTCTCCCCAGTTTGGAGCCTCATCGGCATACTGGCGTTCTCACCCCCGGCTGCAGTATGTCTTCACTTCCCCAACTTCCCAACAACAACGGAAGTCGCCGGGTTGGGGGGGTGGAGACTTGATGAATCCGAGCCCCGATGCAGTATCGTACGAAGAGTATCTCGAAACCTTGTTGCCTTCGAGGCATCAAATCCAGTGCCTTATTGATTACCATGAGCTATATCTTCTGTGGTACCATGGCTCTTATCATGGCCCAACCTTCCAATCCGTGCTTCGGAGTGCTATACTTGACGAAACGGATAATGAAACTCTTGAAATAGCACGACTTGACCTCCAATGGATAGCACTGCTTCTTTCCATCATGGTTGGGAGTCTGGTTTGCGCCCCGAGTGCTCAGGTAGAGGAATGGGGATTTCATTGCGTCGAAGTGTCCGAGCTTGCCTTGGTTTGGTTCAAGGCGTGCGTCAACAGCCTGAACAAGGCCAATTATTCAGCCAAACAGAGCATTTACTCTGTACAAGCCATAGCTACCCTGGCCTTGTCAGCACATATCCTTGATCAGTCTGCAGAACTCTCCGTGCTCCGCGGAGCTGCTACCCAAATTGCTCGGCGCCTCGGGCTGGATCAGCTCGAGCACAATTCCAGCCTCGACACCGCGAAATCGACATCGACCGACGCGGACAGGCATACACTACTTCAGCGAGACACTGGGAGACGCTTGTGGTTTCAACTATGCGTCCAGGACTGGCTTCTGCTTCCCTTTGCAGAGAGCCACTTGATTGATCCGCTGCAGTTCACGTCCTGCAAGCCGGCTAACAGAAATTTCCTGACCATGGAGCTCATAGACGAGGGGTGTCCTACTTATGTCAGCTATACCAACTATTTGTTTCAAATTGCCAAGCTCATGGCCAAGCACCACGAGGCTGTGCTCAGATCATCCACCCTGCTAACTAAGTATGAGCACACCATCGACTATGACCACAGGCTGCGGGCTCTTGCATCCAAGGCCATGCCCAGGTACTTTGATGTCGGGAAGCCCGTTGATTCTACCTGGCCGGACTGGATCACCTGGGCACGCCGCAGTCTGACCGTCTGCTTCGCGCACAAGATGATCATGATTCATCGGCACTTTTTGCGCAAGAGTTTCGAGGTTGCTACGTTCTCCGCCACACGGTCTACTTGCCTAGCAGCGGCGAGAACAATCCTGAAGGAAGCACAGACCAGAGACATGGACGGCCCGACTATCTGGGTTGATGAGGCTTATTGCGCTTCAGCCGGCGCTGTCCTTTGTCTGGATATGCTCCACCGTTCGCCAGCCGACAGCCTGTTCCAGAACCACGCAGATCTCGTGAGAGAATGCATCAGTCGGCTGCACCGGTACAGCTGGGGCAGCATCGCCGCCCGAGGGGCCCGAGTGTTGGAATTCATCATGGATAAGATAGAGACAGGTAAAAGATTGACTATTGAGGCTGAGCTCTCAGAGATGCTACAGATGGCCGGGTCTGAACATATGCGGAGCAAGGACGGTGTTAATGAAGCTGACGTTGATGTGTTTCCCCCACCAGCTGGCATGAGTAACAAGTTCCTATTTGAAGAACTGTTTCGGATTAGATATCAGAGCTAGGTGTATTATATTTATATAGATAAAGGTGCAAAGCGACGATATGATACCTTATAATACCATATACTTAAGCCTTACGATAGTAAATTTTTCGAGCAATCCCCGTCGTTGATCGTGCTTCCAGAGCGGCCGACTATTAGATAGATAGTCGGATTTAAAGCAGTCGCCCGTAGTCACCCAACAGTAAGCACAATCAACGGGACCGCCAATAAGATAGGCCACATAATGCAGTTTAATGCATCTTTGAAATGTAAAATTAAACAGCATTACGACAGGTTGTATGGAAATGGCTTGTGCGCTACACTGTCCAGGTCGGGTGGTGCCCAAGTCGTACGACAGATCGGTTTTCTCGGATGCAGATAGTCGGGCGCACTGATTGCCACCACATTCGTTGCCCAACTATTAAAAATCGCCTCGTTCAACGGGAAGCAGAAGCTAAACTGCTACTTTGATCGGAAAGTACTTTAAAAGGCAGCGCGACGCAACGAACAAGTTGGCCACTGGGTCGAAAAAGCAGGCACAACACCGCACTCTGGCCCCCTCTCCAATACTACAAGACGAAATCGCATCAAGCAAAATGTCTACCACAAAGTACTCCGACCGTGTCATCCCAAGCATTTCTCTGGCCAACTTTGATCAGCGTATCGAGGAAATTACTGCACAGCTCGTCGATGCCGCCGAAAATGTTGGATTCTTCAGCATAGTCGACCACGGCATCGCACGCACCGATGTGGACAAGGTATTTGAGTTTTCTTCAAGCTTCTTCTCCCTCCCCGATGACGTTAAATCGCTTGTGCCCTTTTCACCCATCGAGAATATCGGCTGGGAGAAGAATGCCCAGATTCGGCCTTCGACGGGCGCCTGCGACCGCAAAGAGTCGTACCAGCTGCAGTTCAACAGTGGCATGGAGACGCGCTGGCTGCCTGAGACGATCGTCCCAGGCTTCCGGTCCACCGTCATGACCTTCATGCACCAGGCCCAGGCCGTGTCAGAGAAGCTCATGGTCTGCTTCGCGCGCGGTCTAGGCTTCCCCGACGACTTTTTCGTCGCCGCGCATGACATTACCAAGGAAGACTCGCAGACTGTCGCGCGCCTACTGCACTACTTTGCTGCGCCGGAGGCAAGCAACGACGGGCAGATATACCACCGGGCGGGGGCCCACACGGATTGGGACTTTATCACACTCCTGTTCCAGAAGGCTGGCCAGTCGGGGCTGGAGATTTGCCCGGGCCGCGAGGCAGCCTCGACCTTTGGGCACGGCGACGTCTGGACACGCGTCGAGCCCGCTGCCGAATCCAACGCCATCATCTGCAACATTGGCGACCTGCTCATGTCCTGGTCTGACGACCGCTTCAAGTCTACGCTTCACCGCGTCAAGGCTCCCTGTGAGCCTGGTGACTTCTATGGAGAGAGGTACAGCATTGCCTTCTTCAATCAGCCGCGCAAGTCGGCGGAGATTCAGGGTCCAGGCAGGAAATATCCGCTGGTGACGGGCGCCGAGTTTACACGTAAGGCGATGGAAAAGAACTTCAAGGCCATTTTGCGAGCAAAAGAAAAATTGGCGGTTGCTGTAGCTTAATTACCCGGTAGCCATTATATAGGCGATTTACACGCTCCTAGCTGTTCATAGCCTTCTAATCGGGAAAAACTCGGAAAGCTTTATCTAGTTTATACCTATCTATTATTCTATTTATTATTAAAGTTTAATTAATCCATGAGGGGCCGAGCTACTTTCACTACCAACAACAACACCAACGGCATTAATCGGCGGCATATCCTGCCGTCGTTCAGTGGTGGTGCGCATTTCTATGTGGTGCATAGTCGCAGTTCCAACACAGTTAATCTGGTATATGAGTCGTGTGGAATAGGAATCGGCGTCGGCATCGGGCACGACCACCATCGCCAGTGTCCCAGCTCGAGCCGGAGCCTTAGCCTGGGCTGCGGGCGCAAGCGGACGGCACCACCACGCGCCGCCGTCGGTCATTTGTGCCGGAGCTCGTGGAGCAGGTCCCGCTGGACCGGACGCTGGGCTGCTCGCTGTCGCGCTTCGCCGAGCTGTACGGCCTGGGCTGTGACATGGAGCTCATCCTGATGCGCCACCGGCCTTACGACCTTCGCTCCTACGAGTTCAGCCTCGAGACGCACGCCATCCGCCGTGTCCTCGAGCACGACGAAGACCAGGAGTATTCCGTGAAGTTTCACTTGGCCGCCGACGAAAAGGTTGTCGAGTCGAATCCGACGCACTCGCTCGTGGATTCCGTCGAGGGGTGTGTTCATCCTCACAGACCCAGCCTGGTCGAGCTGTTTTGGCGCCACGTCCATCCTTGCTACCCGATCGTGTCCAGGGACAGCTTTATCCTTATATATAGCCAGTCCTGTCAAAACCTTCCCCCAGCTCTTAGGGCTGCCATCTACTTGTCCGCCACCCGCTGGTGGACCTATAATCCGGAGCTGTCTATCTGCTCACCCCAGACGCAGCGCCTCTAAGAGCCCGGGGGCAAGGGATGAATAGCTAGAAATATGCCATACAAAGCACTCGGCTGACGCTACCGGGCATTTGAGGAGCATAAGAAAGACATCGTGGATAATTAGGTGGTACTAATCACAGCTAATCTCAGCCACCCACCCAGGGTGAGCGGCCTGGTTTAATTGGTGCCTATTTGTTGTGAACTTCGTACGTTCTGTTAATGGGAAGGGGAGAAGCAGCAGCATGAATTCTGATTTAGGTTGCTATAGCAATTTATGATGCGATGATAGAGGTTTTCTTTGATCGCTTTTGGTAGAAGACTGGGTTAAGGGAATCAATCATATGACCAGGAGTCCTGCCGGAGGCCAGGTCCAGGTCATGTGGTTCCGCGCTAGGTATAGCTATGTACGAAATGTATCGTCATTCTTAATCACTCGCTTCCCACCGGGCTCGTCTCTCGCGTATTTGTGCGAAAAACGGATGTTGCAACAGCTCGCCCCCTGTCTTCCTCTTCTCGGGCATCCACTGTAGCATGCTCGATGCAAGATCAAGGAATTGGATCTTTTCGTCACCCATCAGCTCTGTCACGGTATCGGCAAGCGCATTGTTCCGATTAATAAGGTCCTCGCGGAAAATTCGACCTGGTATCACGCCAGGTTAGTATGTAAGGCCTAGTCTGCTGTCGTTTCTAAAGATGAGAGATGTGCGTACCCTCAGAGTTAAAGAATGGGCCACCCCAGTACTCGTTCATAGTATTGCACTCCTGGCCACGCTGATTTTCAATGGGCTTCTCGAGCCGATGGGTACGGAACAATTGCTCCCTAGCGATGAGCTCCTCAGGAGGGTCTCCCATGAGAGAAACCATCTGAGCGAGATGGACGTGGGCATCGTACTCGCCATCATTGCCGGCAGGACGGCCAAACAAGCTCACATCTTCTAGCAGGTTCCACATCTGGCTCGTCAGCATTCATCCTTGAACTAGCACCGTGATTTACTTACAAGTAGTCCAATATTCCAAATGTCAGCGCTATAAGACCACGGACAACCTAAAAGGACTTCTGGCGCACGGAATCGATGAGACTGGATAGGCAATAAATGGCCATGACCATTTATTAAGCCAGGACATGCGAGGTTGAAATCTGCTAGTTGCGGTAATAATTTATGTCCCTTTAGAGGACCAAAGTCGCCATAAGAGAGATAAGTAGAACGGCCTTGGTCGTTTTGGCTATGTGGAAGTGGCCCGCTGTTGATTAGAGACTTGATAAAGCTAGGTAGAACCGTGTCGCTCTCTATAGTCACCATAATATTGTCATCTTTGATGTCTGTTTCCGGCAATACCTTTGTTTAGCAATAATCAGGCAAACATCCGCATGGCTAATCTAGGCTTACCGGTATGAATTAGTTTAACCTTGGTATGTAAATAGTCTACTGCCTCAAGAAGACAGTATAGAAAGAACTTGAATAAAGGTGGCGCTAATCTTTGTCGCTTTAATGTACGCTGTAGTTGGAAAAGTGTTGTTCGCATAGGCGTGTAAACTAGACATCCGTGCACTCCACTCGGGGTCTCGAGACGAAACTCGTCTATGGGTATGCGAAGAAATGATAGACCGTCATGTGATGGATCGGCCATGGCTATCATTTTGGAAATTCTCGTCTCCCAGACTTTATCAATATCCAGGGCGGCAATTTTGATACTGACATAGCGAGGAATATCCAGGCTCTTCGTACTAGGTGCGGGAGTTAGTATATTAGAGCCGGAAGGAAAAAGGGATGCATCTAGGGAGCAGCTTACAATTGTAGGTTTTCTGCCAGCCAAACAGTAGAGCTCGCGCCGTAGCCAAGCTTCACAATAATCTTAAACCGTCCATCTAGAACTTGGCCTGGCTGTGTCTGGTGGAAAAGGTGCAGCCGATTGCCAGGCAACAATTCTTCCTCGATCGGACCAGGAATAATCCCACGGCTAGAAGTGTGATTTTGAAAGATTTGCACCCGCCGCAAAAGGGCTGATACACGCCCGCGCTTAATCATGCTGCTTTCAGTAATAAAGTGCTTACTTCGTCGTCGTGAGATGTGAAGATACGTGATATGTGTATGTGAAGATGCTAAAGTTGAGTGCCCCTTGCGTCTTTCAAGCATTGGCATTAATGACATAAGCAATCAAGGAATGGACGTAGTTCAAAACAGGGTAAACTTATGGCCGAGATTTGTGGGGTCGTGCATAGGTCACCACGCCGACAGAGCTTTGCCTAATTTGTCCGAGTCTTGTACGCCGTCCAAACTTTTGACGAAATGAGCATAGTGGACCGACAGAACCTACGGAGCCTCCTGCAGGCTCTAATCTTGCAGATAAGGACCAAGCCATTTCCCTTTTAGATGGAGATAAACGACGGAAGTCTGCTTACCTTGCCAAACAGGATCAATCATTCTCTGTCCCACGAGCCCAAGTCATTCGCTGTTCCGATCGCGCATAAGTACCTAAAACCCCATTTTGTGCATAGGTGCAGTGCGCAGTATACCGACCAGGGTAAAATCAAGAGAAGATGACAGGCACAGCAATCGGCGGAATTTGTGCATGTAACTGGGGAGGCAATCTATTAAGAGTAATGCCCAAAGTGCTGAACGTGTGTGTTATAGCAGGCTATCGAACCCCTCTTTGCGTGATGAAGTAATTGTGCTGATGACACCGTTCGAGTTTGCGCGAGTTACGTATATGCATAGTGCTTGAACACGCATGTGATTGCTTGATCTGCGATATGCACTGCCGCTCTGAATTTGCAGAAGGCGAGTAGATAGTATTAGGTAAATATAAAGGTCCAGAACATCCTATTTCACGTTCGATATCATCATTCAGCACTTTCCACAGACGCGCACATTATTAACTATCTAAGCACTTATACTCTACTTGGCACGGCCCCACGCTTAAACAATGAAATCAACCCTAGCTAAGATGAAAAACATCAAGTTAAAGGGAAAACTCAGAATTCCATGGGCAGAACGAGAAATAGATGAGTATGTGGACTACCTCGAGCAAAAACATCCACAAGTTGCTCAGCAGCTTGAACGAACACCTTATGTGAAATTCCAGTAAGTTATCGTGCGTACCCAGTCTTTTATCCAACTCCACTAATACACGGCACCAAGCGGATCGCCTCACGAGACGGCGAAGAAAAATGACCCGTGGCACGCGTCAGTAGTCTTCCGTCGAAAAGAAGACTTCAAAGGCTCTGGTGTTTCTCTCCACGTGTATCCGAACGGGACAGTAGTCCCATCTAAGTCCGGGTTTCCAGCGTGGGATGGCGCAACGCCCGTAGCTCCGGAAGATGTCGGCGAAGATAATGCCCACTGGCTTGATCCTGAATATATTGGCGCTTGGCTTGCCGCCGACAAGACCGAGATGGAGACAAGCAAGGAGAAAGACAAAGGCAAGGAGAAAGACAAAGGCAAGGAGAAAGACAAAGGCAAGGGAAAGGCCAAGTCAGATTCTCCCAAAACGCATTCTCATCACTATTCGTCAGAGCAACATAGGCATAACAGTGGCTAAACTATACTAGTAGTTAGGGTAAAGGGTTAGAAAAAATAGGTTTTTTTTAAACTAAAGTTATCTACTAGTAGATAAACTTAGGTATTAAAGCTAAAGTTATCTACTAGTAAATAAACTTAAAATTATCTACTAGTAAATAAACCTAAGTTAAGTTAAAGTTATTTACTAG